ATGACAGCAGAATAAAACAAAATGAATGAACTTCGAAGACGGCGCCGGCGGGGCACCTCCGTGGTACCTCCACTGCCGTTTCCACGTCGGCGCCGTTGCACCGTCTTCGAAGTGGGGAGGTTGCGGCGCATAAAAGAGAAGCTAAAAGAGAAGGAAAAATATTACCTTTACTCCAAATGATATCAAAGAAGCACGATACTAATACGCTAACATATTGGATGAGAGAGTGGCTGCGTTCTGGTGTGCCGTGTCCTAAACAAATAGTGACAGATTATTCATTGGCACTTCTTAATGGTGTGACTCTTTCATTTAATAATACCGAATTAAAAACTTATATCAATAATTGCATGAATATATTATTGGCAGGGAATGGAAAGTTACTTTTTAAAAGTAACAAGTTACAGTTACTCGTTACCGAGTAAGAAAAGTAACAAGTTACCGTTACTAGTTACCGATTTTTAAAAGTAACTCGTTACAGTTACCGTTACTTGAGAAAGTAACTTTTCATTACTTTTCCGTTACTTTTTTTTAAATTCGGTATTATTAAATGAAAGAGTTAGAGAGATAAAAAGCCTAATATTTAAAGGTGCTAAAGCAAACAGAGTTGACAATTTCATTATTTTGCATTTGAGATCATTAGCTGGAACAATGAAGCTATTAAATGCACCTAAATTTTTACAAAACGAATTTAAACATCAACTAACGTTTGCCGATAAAAAAGTATTATCCTATAATAGTAACGTTAATCACTCTGATAAATTTAATGATATTTCCAATACTGACCATGATATTTCAAATAATAAACCTGATGTTTTTTTCAATACTGATCTCAACGAAAATAATAATTCTATCACGAATGATAATATTAATAGCAACTTGTTACATGAAAATACACAAATTAATAAAAATGAAAGAAATACGCAAGTTGAATATAATGAATCTCATGAAGATTGTGATACAATAAATGGTAAAAATTCATTTCTACACGAAATAGAATCTTGGAAAGGACTAAATAAAAAAAGAGCGCGTGGAAAATATTTAATCGCATATCCGGAAATAGAAAATTTCCATAAACGGTGTAAACTTAGTCACACTTTTGTATCTTCATTAACCTTTAGTAACGGTAATTCCTTACCGCCTGCGAAAATAGGGAATAAATATGTAATAATTAAAAATACGTGCCCTTTTGACACAGTTGTACAATGTATTATTGCTGGCTATCGCGAATGGTTATAATATATCAAATATATAAACGAATTATGTAATCCAACCTTCAAATTAGTCAGAAATGTATGTAACACAGAAGTTACACAAGAAATATATAATATGAGAGCTACATTATGAGTCATATTCCCAGTAAGCAAGAAACATTTTGGAACATTTCGGTAACATTGTAGCAATGTTACAACGTTGCTACAATGTTGCTGAAATGTTCCAAAATGTTTCGTGCTTACTGGGTTGTCATCCCGAAAGATGGAATTTTAGATTGCGCTATGAATGTAGCATCATTAATATCCATGTATTTAATGCATGATGTACCATCACTTGAATTTACACATCATTGTGAAGATTGTGGCTCACAAAAGAAACAAATAAGTCCTATCTTGAATGTAAACACAATTCCATTCTATAAACATGGAATGAAAGGACTGCAAGGAGCAATTGATTAATGTTGCAATGTTAGGTATCATACATGCAACTGTTGCAAAAGCACAAAAATAAATTCCACCTGTTTTGGTGGAAATCATATGTTCATAGACATCGAATGCCTTGAAAATGAACAATTAGCATCGCGACTTGGGTACCCAAATTCCTCCAACAATTTACTTTAGCTGAATTACCAGTGGAAATATATTTCTGTAAAAACAGATACAAACTTGTTGGTGCAATAATATACATTCCAAGTAACATAACAGGCCATTATGTTACATACATACGAAAAATGAATGATAGATGGCAAATGCACGATGGTCTTTCTACAGATTAGAAACCATGTTCTGTTACCGATCGTACACTTTTACAAAACAGGAGTATAGACGTATTGTTTTACGTAAAAAAATAAGCAATATATGAAAAGAGCGCGAGTATGGTATGGTAGACGTACACCAGTCTGCTACACTAGATGATCCTAGGCATAATTGAAAAGGACTCAACACTAATCTTATGAGATACCGTCTTTCTGCAAATATGGCTAACTTTTGGATATATTGTAGTTCCCTTAATTTTGAACAAATATCTCAACTTCATCCGATGAGCTGTTTCCGCGCTACAAGCCTTGAAAGGTTTAGATTTAAAGTACAAAAGTGTAGGCTTTTTTCGAGGGGATATATGACTCGGTCGAATTCGCATGCGGGTGAGTGTGCAAATTAGAAGTATGGTCTGATCATCACTTAATAGTAAAACGCCACACGCGCAAACACGCACGCACGCACGCACGCACGACGCACGCACGTACACACGAATGAGAGGGTTTGGAGTCATTAAATGGGAGGGCTCCGATTGCACACATCGTATATTGCACACATATATCGCTGATTGGCCAATTTAAAAATAAAATAATCTCATTGGCAAAACAATGAAAAATTACTAGGCACCAGTTGATACGAGTGGTGTGTACAATCAGAACTGTATCAAACGGGATCCTCCCCATTAAAATACTACGGAAGTAACGAACCGTGAATTCCTTATCTTTGCTGACACACACATACGCCCGCACGCACGCTCGCACATACGAAAGAATTTGGAGTCATTAAGTACGGAAATGAAGAACACACCTTACTTCTTCTAATGGACGCATTAAAAAAATTCATTTTTATACAATTATCTAAATAATTATATCTCACGAACGGTGCAACTACAAACGACGGTAAAATCACTACAAACAACTACAAACGATTCTGAATCGAGCCCTGTAAGCGGATTTCAGATATCTTGTAAATTAAAAAAATTCATTTTTATACAATTGTTTAAATAATTATAGCTCGTAAACGGTGCAACTACAAACGAAAGCAAAATCGCTACAAACAACTACAAACGATTCTTTGTAAGATGCCGCAAACAGATTTCCAATATCTTGAAAATTGCCAAAGTTACGATTTTGTTTATTGTTAATTTATCATAACTTTTAAACGGTGCAACTACAAACGACCGGAAAATCACTACAAACAATTACAAACGAATTTGATTCGAGATATATTAATATTTTTTTTTATATTAAAGTCTGGTGCTAGTCATTTTTTAAACATTTTTTATCTTTTATTTTATTAAACTACAATCGAAACTATTGTTACTGCAATCAACTACTAACGAAATACTATCATTTTTTTAATGAAAAAAATTAATTTATAAAAAGTCGGGTGCCAAGTTCACAATGGTTTTCTTTACGTATGATTGGACACGTTACGACACAAGCCACTTACACTGTATAAAAATGTCGTAAATTTACACATATAATAGATATATAATAGATTATATGATTAGTCCTATATATATATAAAATTATGCAATTTTACAGAAATTATGTAATTCCACAAAAATTATATAAATTTGTTTTTACTGTGTAAATGTATCTTATTTTATATTAAAAATTATGTAAATAGCAGCATATTTTGAATATTTTCTGTAATTATCCAAATTTTAGTAAAATTACGTAATATAATAGAAATTTTTCGTGTATTGTTGTTAAATGTATAATAATATATAGTACGAAATGTATTGTCATATTATCGTTCCTGTAGCTACACATACACATTGTAATTGTACTTCCACAATCTGCTTAGTTACAAACCAAGAAATTATTTTTATTTGCATATTGCAAATTTACAAACGTGTGGACGTTACAACTATTGTAGTGGATCTAAAAATTATCCAGTAGAATAGTTGTAATTTTACACAATTTTTTACAGTGCATAGCACTTGAGACTGGAGAAGCCCCTAGGCCCGTCCGCTGTGATTTGCGGTCGTCGACTTAAAAAAAAAGTAACGAAAAGTTACTTTCTCAAGTAACGGTAACTGTAACGAGTTACTTTTAAAAATCGGTAACTAGTAACGGTAACCTGTTACTTTTCCTACTCGATAACAAGTAACTGTAACTTGTTACTTTTAAAAAGTAACTTTCCATTCCCTGGCTCTCCGTGTTAAATTGTCTTGTGATGAGTGTATCTCTTTTTATACGAATGGGTCTAAAGATGCTAATGTTCTTTCTCCTACTGTCAGTGCAGGCGTCTTTTCTCCGGACCTCATGCTCAGTCTTATGTATCATTTCCTTTTTCAAACCTCCGTTTTTACTGTAGAAGCCTGGTATACTTCAAGCCATCTTTACCACAGAATAAATTCTTTATTATTTTAGACTCTATATATGTACTTAAAACTTGCCTTTTCAAGAAGATCCAACGTTAACTGTTTTAATCTGTTAAACAAAACTGCTATAAGTAATCAGCATGACACTTTCTCCAAAAAATTAATTAAAAATATGTAGCGGCCGGAACTCTATTTACAAATGATTGTAGAGCATAGAACTCTACTAGAATTAACGGGAACTATTGTCAAAAGTAATATTTATCGTTTTTTTTGTATTTTGAAGAAAAAGTATTATGCTACATTTACGAAGTTAGCTCGCCATATTTTTATATTTGATTCTTTATGTAAAACATGCGGAACTTTTTAGTATTTTTATATAGAACTGTAAAACTATGAAAAGTGCTACTGAAACTGTCATTATTTTTTTTATATTAATAGAATGTCGTACTAATTTCACAGATCCGCAGAGCAGCACTTTGTTTGCCACATTTGTTCATTTCGTGCAAAAACGCGTCAAATAAGCCTAATTTCATCAAAATTGATAAGAAAGATAGAATTCTTGAGTATTACTGAAAAGTAACTCTTCCATTCCCTGTTTTAAACGCCAAAGACTGTCCTTGTATAATGTGTACCCTTTTGACGCGGGGTTCCGTAATCCCGTTCGATGACAGTACTCTGGCGGAATGGACTGCTGTAGCGAAAGGGTTAAGTACGGCAAATCACTCATAAATGTACTATCTCAGCGTGAATATTTCGTGATGAATAACAGGGCTTGGCGTTCACTCTGAAAGAAAGAATAGCTCTCGGAATACATGGACTACAGCCTCCCAGATTTAAGACGCAAGAGGAACAGCTGGCTCTGTGCAAAGCCTCAGTAATGAAATATTCAGAGGATCTGAATCGATATTTGTATCTTGTGGAACTTCAGGTAAATAATACCTTTTGCGCCATTTTATTATAGAAAATTTATCTTTAATTTCTTTGAAATAATTTCTAGGAAAGGAACGAAAGATTATTTTTTCGCTTGTTAAGCGAAAATATCGAGCAAATGATGCCAATTGTCTATACACCTACCGTTGGTTTGGCCTGTCAAAAGTTTGGTGTGATATATCGTAGACCTCGCGGACTTTTCATTACTATATACGATAAAGGCCATATTTACGAGATCTTAAATAATTGGTTAGTATAAAAAAAAGTACACTAAATATTATTATTGTATCTATAAAAAAAGGTGAGACGTTTGCAGCCTGTCTTTTATTGTTCTCTTAATAAGTCATACGATTAATCGAAAAACAATAAGTTAAATTGTACCGCTATATGATATATGAATAAATTAAATGAGTGAAGAAAGATTAAATACGAGGCTAGATCTTGTACCTAATAATATTGTACTTATATGTAAATTTAAAAAAATGCTGGAGTGACTAAGTTATCGAGACATTATAGTTCTATAAAAATCTCCGAATTGACTGAACGGTATCAAAAATTCTTTTACAAGATTAAAGGGGACGGTCCCTTTAATCACATAGTGCGATAGCATACATCCACTTATATCGGCCGGTACCCAGTAACACTGCTTTACTAATGAGAATATTTTACTTTAGATGGTAATAATGTAATCTTCTTACGGACTCTCACAAATTCAACAACAAAAAGTCCAAAAAAATCAGGACGAATGAGAGTCAGCGTGGTAGTTAGTATGGAATCTTGAATCTTTATTAAAAAAAAATAGTACGTTTCAGTTTACTTTGGAACCATCCTCAGCAATATAATTTTAAAATATCAATCCCTTCATGTCCGAAGAAAAAATCAGATTAACAGATTTGATGTTGTAAAATCCCAAGACATAAAAGGAATTTGTCTCGACATTGGATAAAAAAACAATTAAAATTTATTATCACTAGAGAGTATCATGTTAAAACGCATGTTAATCTCAGCTCGAACGAAATGTGACTAATTTTATTGTAGACTGGCCAATTACCGATGTGCGCTATTGATTAACCCTCCTGATTAAAGTAGATGCAAAATTGGGAGGAAGTGCAGTGGACCTTATATTAAAATTGAAAGAGTTAAAAACCTACTTATTTTTTAAGTCGTACAGCTGTTACCTAATGTAGAAGCTTCCACAATACAAGTTTTATAGCCGGGATGGACACAAAACGACAGTGTACTATTCATCGGATTACGTGAACGATTGAACAATACTGAGTTTATGAAACTAAGAATAAAAGCTTAAAAGAAATTTATATTTATATGAATGCGTTCAACAGATTCAACTGTTATGGAGCGAATCTGTGAGTGTTCACTGATTATGATCCGATCGATGGACGGAGAATAAATTAAAAAATATAGAATAAATTATATAAGAATAAATTATAAAATTAATAAATAACAAAGAATAAATTAAAAAATTGCCTGGTTATGTTCAAAAGTAAGAAAAAGATAGAACAAAACAAAATAAGTAGAATAGTTTTGGTTGAATCTGAAATCCTTTTCCCATACTTCTCAAAATGATATAAAAAGCAATTAATATTATTTCGAGAAATTGCCTCTCCCTCCTAATAATTTTAATGTTAATAAGGTGACGATTTTTTCATTTTTCTATTTGAAAGACAAATGTACAGGGTGTTGCAGATACATACTAGGCAGTACGACAGCGTGACGTAGGTAATGACGATAATTTTATAGCATAAACTTTATAATATAAATAATAAAACTTTATAATACAAATAATAAAACTTTATAATATAAACTATAAAGTCATCGTCATTACCTACTGAACCGCGCCTGCCCCTGCAAAGTTTGCCGTGCAACCCATCGTACTGCCTAGTATGTACCCGCAACATCCTGTACATCCACATTAACAACTATTAAGACATAAATGGTTTATTAACCTTTCTTCAGCATCCATCCTGATGAATGTTTAATGTCTATTACAGTTAGGTGATAATTTCTTGTTATTTATAAACAGTGGAAATAAATTAATATTCGAATTCATTAAAAATATTGAAAATAATATTAAAAAACTACAAACCTCTGTACACAACACAGTGAGAAAGCGTTCAATTATTAATTATTTTAATAGTTTATTATATCTTTCAATCCCAAAAAGAAATTAATCCCCCCCCCATTGCAACTTACTAAAATTAACGAAGTATATCAAGCAATTTCATAAGACCAACCAAAACATTATATTTACGAGGGCTGACAAAGGCAATCTAACTGTAGCACCTGATAAAGACACCTACAAAGAAAAAATTAACTTAATTATCCTTGATAAAAACACGTATTTAAAAATCATCAAAAATCCGATTAATAAAATTAATAACAAATTGAAACAATTACTTGCAGGATGGAAAAAGTTAGGTTATATTTCCACATATATGTATAAGAGGTCATATTATAGTAATGGTAACTTACCTAGAGCCTGTGACCTTGCGAAGGTACCTAAGCAGAATTGTTCATTCAGAATTATTATCTCTTCAATTGGTAGCTTGCTTTGTAACTTGGCGACATTTTTACACAAATTGATCGTCAAAGGTATTCTAAGAACTCCTAGCCTTATCAATAATAGTTTTAAAGATAACTATATAAAAATTTTCGAAATAACAATTAAAAAATATAAACAAATGAAAATAAAAATTAAGTAAAGGGCATATAAGAGTCAATAATCATTAAAACTTAAAAGTAAAATAAAGACATAATATAATTACTCGATATCAATTCTTACAATATCTCGGTGGTATAATGTCTCGATACCACCGAGATATTGTAAGAATTAATATCGAGTAATTATATGTCTTTATTTTACTTTTAAGTTTTACTGATCATTGACTCTTATATGCCCTTTACTTAATTTTTATTTTTATTTGATAACAAGAGTCTTTTTTTTTATACATATTTATTATTTATAAACAAATGACAAATGAGCAATTGGGAATTGGTAGGAGTGGATCCAGAATCAAGGGGAGGAGGAGGGGCATTGACGCACCGCAAGTGAAATATTTTCACGATCAAATACAAAATATTTAAATTACTATTGATACATTAATACATTGAAAAGTACTATAATCCGTGTGTCAAAATAGTCGATAAAAGTAAACGAGAGGAACTATGGAAGATGGCCATCTCTATCTCTTTTTATTCAACTGTGTAATGGGAGAGAGAATGAGAGAGAGATTGGCCGTCTTCCATGGTCCCTTTCTCTTATTATTGTCGACTATATTTAAATACTACTTTTGTTAGATATGGATCGCGCAATCCATTATCTATGGTCGAGTTCAAGATATCAAAGCGGCTAGGCATGTTTGCCGAGCGAATGAGCATAATTGGTTCTTACCTGTGGATCCAACCAATCATGTTTAATTGCTTGGCGAGCAGACCTAGCCGCTTTGTCGACTTGAACGCGCCCTATGTCTTTGGTGTCACGTGACTTATGCCTATATAATGGTGGTACCAATAGCGAACTCCGTTCACCCAGCGCGGACGGACGGAAAATAAAAGCTGCAGCACAAACTTTATTTATTTACTTTTTGGAATATAAAAAAGAATCTATATCCCAGCAAACGAAAATGGATTGAAATGAATTGGAAACTTCCAATCCATCTGAATCCATATTTTAAATCCATAAAAATGGATTCTATATAAATTAATAAGGATTATTAATAATTTTCTATATAAATTAATGAATAAGGGCACTACGAGTCAGGCGCAGAAGACGTCGCGTAAATAATACACCTATGAATTGAACGATACTTATAGGAAAATAGATTCCACTCGGGTACAGCTTTTCCGATTTGTACGTGCTATTTCCCGTTGCCTTCCTATTTGCGACGCCTTTTTTGAAAAACAGGGGTGATCTTCATACTTTTCTTCTTGTATGAAAGAATAGAATTGATTCGAAGTATTGCTGGCTGTTGTTGAAACAGAGGAAAGATTTACTTAATAATAATATTAAAAATATCAGGCCTATTCGTTATTATCAAAAGACAATTTCCGCTGTTGACGTTGATCACGGCAGGGATGGAGTGATCGAGGGTAGTATTAGTGTTAGATTATCGTTGTACTCTAACGTGCAGAATCCAAATGTTGAGACAGTTAGAGAAATACAGATAGATTCTCAGCCCTTTCTTCCACTGATTCATTTACATCACAAAGGAATGGCTAGTTCGTGAATCTGTCAACCGTTCTATACCTTCTAATATACCAAACTTTTTACAATTGGGAGACAACTTCACCATACTTTTTAACAATAGATTAAATTTAACGGTCGATCTTATTAAGTGTATTGAAAGAAATATTTATAAATTGCCTATTGATGAGCGGATTTCGATTTCGAACCACTCACTCCTGTATTAAATAACTTAACTTCTTGTTCCCTACATTGTACGGAGGTAGATAGGAGTTTGTCACAGCTAGCGAAAGATACTAGGGTTTTTTTAAGGGATATGAATGATAAGGTTATTTTTACTCGTCCGGATAAGGGGAATGTGACGGCATTGGATAGACAGGTGTACATTTCCAAGGTAAATGAGATGCTTCAGGATGTGAATATTTATGAGGTAGTTGAAAGGGATCCGACGAGGAGAATGGTTATGGGCTTACGCGCCTTATCAGTTAGTTGGAAGGAAAAAAAGTAAATATCTAATTCCACATACAGAAGTTTGTTATGTAATGATGGAATACTTCCGAGGGCCTACGCTCTTCCGAAAATACATAAGCAGAACTGCCCCTTTCGTATAATAATTTTTTCGATAAATAGCCCTTTATATTCGCTAGCAGTGTTTCTTCATAGTATTATCATTAAAACGATTCCTAAGGCGGATAGTCATATCGATAATAGTCTTAAATTTGTTAAGGAACTTGATGGCAGGCGGTTGAGTGATGAATTTCAGTTAATGTCACTGGATGTTGTTTATCCTCTTCACTAACGTTCCCATTGACTATGCGATGGACTGTATCCAAGAATATTAGCGATTTATTTCTAGAGATTGTTGTTCAGGAAGGAGAAATTCATCAAAGCAGTTGAGTTTATTTTAGATTCTACCTTCTTTGTTTTCGATAGTGTTATTTATAAGCAGATTTACGGTGCTCCTATGAGCTCGCGTTGTCTCCCGTCATCGCGGATCTAGTTATGTGTAAACTGGAGAGTAGAGTTTTGTCTTTGATTCAGTTTTCGT